CAGTATATTTCACAATTACATCTTACGAATTTAAGACACAAGAAAAGAAGAAAAAATCCTATTACTATGAAGGGTTGGACCAAACCATAAAGAGTCAGATAGCTACCTGGGAAACATTTCTGGTCACTGGACTCACGTCCGTCAGGCTGTTTGCCGCTTCATCAGTCTCCGGGAGAGAAGACAAACCTGGTCCTGGGGGCAGTCCTTTCTTAATGTAAGATTTTATATAACGCCTAAGGGAAAGACAAAACTTCTGTTATGTTAATCACTCGCTTGAAGTTACACATGAGCCATTGCAATGTTGCCAACAACGGAACATTCTGATTTGTTTCAGTTTTATCATATTCATTCTTCTACAACCAGTTATTTATTTCTTGTTAGAATATAGAACAAATATTCCATATCAATGTATTGGTATAAAAACATTCTCCAACATGATTTGTTTTAAAGCCGTGGTGGTCATCTTTGGAATGTATAGGAATACAGGAAATGGACAACATGGAGAATCCATTTAATTCATTAGTATCAAAATAATCCACCACTCGTCTGTCAGCTTGTCCTACTGTGGTAGTTCGTGTGTTGCTTCCCACTGGGAGCTATGTCATGGTATTTCAAAGATGGTCAGGGTCATCCAAAGGGAACGCGGTTCAGAGGAGCTTCCATACTAAGAACGGCAGCGAAGAAGCATTCCACTCATCTCAAAGGAAGGAGCCTCTGAAGACCTTATGCATAGCTTCTAACAGTGTCAGCTATTGAAGGCTTAATGAATGGCAGCATAGCATCGCCAGAGACAGTGTCGGGGGATGTGCCTCTCAGGTCCAAGGGCACTGGAAATGTGATTGAGGAAGAGCTGATTGCGCAGAGTGGGCTGACCTTGGTGATGTGAGTCAGGTAAAGCCTTTGTAAGCAGAGCCTCCAGGACCTTCATTGGATGGTGGCAAGTAGAAACAGCTGCAAACAGCTGCTAAAGGTCAGAACATGGAATGTACAAGGTATGAATATAGGAAAACTGGAAGCGATCAAAAATGGAATGGAACTCATAAAGATTGATATCCTAGGCATTAGAGGGCTGGCATGGGCTGGTATTGGCCATTTTGAATCAGAAAATCATATGGCTTACTATGCTGGGAATAACACAAATCAAGAGGAATGGCGTTGCATTCATTGTCCAAAAGGACATTAACAAAATCATGAAGTACAACGCTGTCTGTGATAAGATTATGTCTAGCTACCTTCAAGGTACTCTAATCAATCAAGCTATCATTCAACTCTATGCACTAACCACAAAAGCTGGGGATGAAGGAATTGAAGAGAACTACCAATGACTTCAGTCTGAAACTGAGCAAACATACAGTCCAGGTGCATTTATAATTATGGATGATTAGAATGCAAAGGTCGAAACAAAAATGAAGAAACAGCAGTTGGAAAATACAGCTTTGGTGATAGACATGAAGCTGGAGATCACATGATAGAATTTTGTACAACCCAACACTTGTTTGTAGCAAATACCTTTTCCCAACAGCACAAAAGGTGACTATACACCTGGACTTCCCCAGATGGAATACAAATTGACTACATCTGTCGGAAGAGACATGGAGAAGCTCAATATCAGCAGCTAAAACCAGGCCTGTGTCTGACTGTGGAACAGACCATCGATCGCTCTTTTGTAAGTTCAGGATAAAGCTGAAGAAAATGAGAACAAGTTCATGAAAGCCACAATACAACCTTGAGTGCATCCCACCTGAATTTCGAGAACATTGCAAGAACAGATCTGCAGCACGGAGCACCAGTGGCAGACTACAGGATGAGTGGTGGGAAGGTTTCAAGACCCTCATTCATGAAGAAGTCAAAGGGTCATTCAAAAGAAAGAAAAGATCAACATTGATGTCAGATAGAAACTCTGAAACTTGCTCTTAATTGTAGACTAGGTAAAGCAAATGGAAGAAATGATGAAGTCAACGAGCTGAATAGAGCATTCCAATGGGCAGCTTGAGAATACACAACCAAATATTATAATCAAGTATGAAAAGACCTAGAATTAAAACATCAAAAATGAAGAACACACCCAGCAAACCTTCAACTGAAAGATTTCAATTAAACAGTTCAAGCCTCCAGGTGCAATATTGAAATATTCTAAGGCAAAATACTGAATGATGCAGGAAGCACCAGAAGAAGATAGAATGAATAAACAAAGTCACTGCACCAGAAAGAACTAGTTAGCATTGCACCGTTTCAGGAGGTCACATATGAGCTACATTACCAATAATACAGAAGGAAGAATTTCAAGTTGTACTAAAAGCACAAGCCAAAAACAAGGCTCCAGGAATGGATGGAATACCAAATGGAGTGTTTCAACCAGCTGATGAAGCACTGGAAGCACTCACTTGTAAAATTTGGAAGGCAGCTACTTGGCCAACTGACTGAAAGAGATCCTATTTGTACAGATTCCAAAGAAAGATGACCCAACAGAGTGCTGAAATGATATAACAATATCACTGATAACACATAAAAGTAAAATTTTGCTGAAGATCATCCAACAAGGATTGCATCAGTTCAGTACATTGGCAGGGAGCTGCCAGATGTTCAGGCTGGATTCAGAAAAGAACATGTGTGTTAGTCTGGGTAGACTAGAGAAACAAATGCATAGACACACTCATATGTCTATAAGAAAGAGGTTTATATACAAGGCCAATTGAGTATAAAGAAAACATCCTAGCCAAGTCCAGGTCAAGTCCATAAGTCTGATATTAACCCATATGTCCGATACCAATCTATAAAGTCCTCTTTAGACGCTGAATGCACGACGATCACAGGCCAGTGGGTCCAGTGGTGTTGTAAGCATCTCAGTGCTGGCAGGAGTCTCCAAGTGGCTTCCCAGCACCCAGAGCAGCATCAGGGTAGGCCCATGTGGCTTCTCCTCAGGGATGTCTCACAGGGAGTCAGCCTTCTCAGTGGAGAGGCTCCAAGGGAGTGAGCAGAGAGAGAGTCTCTCCAGCTCCCAAGGAGGAAATACCAGAGTTTTCCCAGGACCCTCAGCGGAAGGCCATGCCCACAGAGGCCTCATTGGCTGTGACCCGACCCGACTGACAAACTATACTCCACCCTTCACTCTTAATCCTCTCAAGTCCCAAATGGACACCAGATTATGTAACTACCACAACATGGAACAAGGGATCTTGCCGATGTCAGATGGATCTTGGCTGAGAGAATGGGACACTAGAAAGATATTTACTTGGATTTTACTGACTGTGCCAAGGCACTTGACTGTGTGGATCATAACGAACTATGGATAACTAAATGGGAATTCTAGAACACTTCATTCTGCTCTTGGGGAATTTTTACATGGATCAAGAGGCAGTTGTGCAAACAAAACAAGGGAATAATGAATGGTTTTAAATCAGGAAAGGTGTGCATCAGGATTGTATCTTCTCACTATATTTATTCAATCTGTATGCTGAGCAATTAATCAGAGAAGCTGGTTTATATGAAGAAAAATGTAGCATCAGGATTAGAGGATGGCTAGTAACAACCTGTAATATGCAGATGACACAATTTTGCTTGGTTAAAGCAGAGAAGACTTGAAGCACTGATGAAGATCAAGGGTGGCAGCCTTCAGTGTGGATTACAAATCAAAGTCATGAAGACCAAAATCCGCACCACTGGACCAATAGGGGGCATCATAACAAATGGAGAGAAGGTTGGAATTGTCAAGGATTTTGTCTTGCTTGGATCCACATCATTGCTCATGGCAGCAGCAGGCAAGAGATCAAAAGAGGAATTTCATTGGATAAATCTGCTGCACAAAAGCTCTTTAGAGTATTATAAAGCAAGGGTGTGACTTTGAGGACTACAGTGAGCCTGACCCAAGACATGCATGTGAAAGTTGAACATGAATAAAGAAGTCTGAAGAAAAATCAATGCATTTGAATTGTGGTGGTGGAGAATAATATTTAGAGTACTATGGACCGCTAAAAGGACAATCAGATTGGTCTTAGAAGAAGTACGGCCAGAGTGCTCCTTAGAGGCAAGTCTGAGCAGACTTGGTCTTACATCCTTTGGACATGTTGTCGGGAGAGAATAGTCCCTGGAGCAGAACATAATGACTGGTAGAGCAGAGAGGCAGTGAAGAGAGAGGAAGATCCTCAAGGAGATGTATTGACGCTGTGGCTGCTCAAGCACAGGAACGATTGTGAGGATAACGCGGAACTGGGGCCGTGCTGTGGTCTGCTGGGCATAAGGTCGCTATGGGTTGGAACCGACTGGATGGCCCTTACTAACATCAAGAATAAGAAAGGAGACTTGTTAAGTGCTCAGCTGCTGAGACGTGGGCAGACGCTTTGAACCCAGCAGACACTGTGCAGAAGGAAGTGATGGCTGCCTGCTTTGATCCACATCACAGCCTTTGAAACATGATGTGGCAATTTTCGTTCCTGTTGGGTCACTATGAGCTGGAATTGGTTCAACCACAAGATTGACGAGAGCAATGTGTCTGACAAATGAATCTTATGGTAAGAAATTTAATTATGAGGTGAAACATTGAGGTTTATGCCTGTGGTATTCATATAGCTACCAAGTGCACAGTAATTGATTCCATGTAATTGCTCACATGACCTCCCAAGTCACCATTGCTATACAAGAATGGGATAGTAGGCTAGTTTTCTATCTCTCTCATAGATAGATAGATAGATAGATAGATAGATAGATAGATAGATAGATAGATAGATAGATAGATAGATAGATAATGGTAGATGATAAATGTGCTTCATAGGTAAAATGAAATTCTATGCATAAGCTTTGTGGACCTGATGTGTTTTTTTTTCTAGTGTAGTAAAATCTAATTTTCCTAAAGCTAAATTCATGGAGCCCTGGTGGTGTAGTGGTTACGCATTGTGCTGTGATCTTCATGGTCGGCAGTTCGAAACTACCAACTGCCCAATTGCTGCGCTAGAGAAAGACTAGACTTTCTACTTCTGTGAACAGTGACAGTCTTAGCAACCCACAGAAGGCTCAATGTGAGTCGGCATTGACTAAGTGGCAGTGAG